AAGGAAGGAAGGAAGGAAGGAAGGAAGGAAGGAAGGAAGGAAGGAAGGAAGGAAGGAAGGAAGGAAGGAAGGAAGGAAGAAAAAGATCATTAGTGAAAACCTTTGTTAAAAAACATGGAAAAAATGGAAGAAATTCCAGAGAGGGTCACCAACCAGCAGCAGAGTTTGCCTACCATTATGATAAACTCAATGTATACTTTTTTTAAAATCTATACATCACTGAAAGTCACAGATTCATATAATCTCTTGTTCCCCGTTCTCTGAATATTGAAAAGTTCATGTGTGTGTTATTTTAGTGTTCAAAATAAAAAAAGAGGAAAATGTAAGTTTATGAAGGTCATGACAATTTTTTTATATCAAAAGAATTGGGAAAGAAGCTACTCTGTAAGTATGGAAACCACTTTTATATGGCTACTGGTTTAGCTTGCAGAACTCTGTCTTGTCCTGTTATAAGCCTGGCCTGTGGCTTTTCTCTATGCCCAAGGCTTCTCCTGCCTCTCTGTACTGAGGGTCATAAGTCACCCTCCCACTCTCAATCTCAATGACCTCCATGAGCTGAAGTGCATAAATCCAAGACAGATCTAAGTTTGGGTAAGGATTCAATAAAGACTGAAGCCACAGAGAGACTATCCTCAAAAAAAACAGGGCATTAGGGTTAAATGTTTGAGCAAACCAACCCTCCAGAAACATCTGAAGTCAGCTCTGGACTGGAGGAAATCTTAGAGCTGCTTAGTCTCTGGGAGAGAACAGAGGGAGAGAAGGCAGAAGGCAGAAGGCAGAATGTTGAAATGGGCAGAAGCAAATGAGACTGAAGTCTTGGAGTGTCCTTTAGGAGCAGGATGACGAAGTTGGCCAGATTTTGTGGATTTCCTGTCCTCTTCCCCTCCAGGACAAGTTGTACATCATGGGGGTAGAGGGCTGAACTAGTCAGAAAGATAGGGGAAACTTGAGGCAAGGAGACCGGACAGCAGGCTATCAGTCACTTTAATTAGGGTGGGGTGACTTGATTAATTTTCTTAATCTTCAGCCTAACCTTACAAAAAATCCAGAAACATTGAAAATATTTGCCTTAGCTTATTTTTTTTTTTTAAATCTAGAGCTAGGATTAAAAACTCAGATGTTGTGATTTGAAATCCAAACGGGCCAGTTTGCTCTATATTTCTTCTCCAATGACAAAAATGATTTTTAGGTTGCTGTCAAACTGAAATCCATCTAGAGACTCAGAGTGAGTAGGTGACTTACCCATGGTCACACAGGTAATAAAGCCAGGATTTGAACCCTGATACTCTGACTCCAAGTAAAAGCATTTTCTGCTTATACTCTGACAATATCACAGAATGACAGAATTTGAGTTTTGGGAGAGATCACAATCACCTAGTCCAAAAGGTAAGTAAAAAAATCCCCACTGTCACACCCTCTGTGAGTGATCACCTAGTTTCTATTTCAAGACCTCCAAGGGAACCCACCACAACTTGAGGTAGTCCATTACAACTTGGACAGCTGTGATTGTTAAGAAGTTTTTCCCAATGTCAGCCCTACATTTAGTTCCTTACAAAAGCTGGCTGTAACCTCAGATTCTGTCCTTGGGGCACAAAGAGCACAAATCTATATGCCTCCACAGGACAGAACTTCCAATACGTGAAGACAGAAATCATGTCTATACTGGGTCTTCTCTTCTCCCCACCAACCATCCCTAACTCTATCAACTCATCCCCACGGGGCTTCCCATGCTTGGTTGTCTTCTTCTACAGTCTAGAGTCTACTCTAGACATTCTCCAGCTTCCCAATGTTCTACTTATGGTATGGATTCCAAAAGATAGCCACAAGACTCCATATTTGGTCTGAAAGACCAAAGAATGTGGAGACTAGTACTTCTCTATTCCTGCAAGCTTGCTTCTCAGCACAGGAGAAGATTTGATTTTTGGCTTTGCCATCAGCCTGCTGACTCAAAATGAGATGACAGTACCACTGAACCCCCAGAGCTTTTAAAGAAATACTGTTGTCTAAAAATGCCACACCCATCTGGTATGATCATGACAGAACTTGATCTCCTAAATCCCACTTCCCCATAGAATATTGAAACCACAACAAAAAGTTAAAGTTTTAGAAAGTTTTATTCTGAATCTTTGTCCAACAGATGTTGGACAAAGCAAGTGACCTCATGACTCAAAAGGACAGAGGCTTGGCTGCCAAGAAAGGTCCCCATGGGGGACAGGTGTCTTCCAAAAGTAGAACCAAAGTACTAATAAATAAACAAAGTTGTCACCAAATAATTTACATAAATAAATCTCACAGATAAGAATGAAATATAACAGTTGAGAGGATCTCCAGCAGGCTGGAGTTTGGGGAGATTGCATCTGACTATGGAATTCCTCAGTTTGGTCCATTTCACTTTAAGAGTCCAAGGTCCCTGAGCCCCTCAGTTCAGCTCCAGGTCTTCCACATAGCTCTGAACCCAGGCATCACTGGGGTTGGCACACACCTGTCGGCCTCTTTTGGTCTGGAAGCTGGAGAGGGAGAGAAGAGATGAGAGGTCATAGAGAGAAATGTTTCTCTGTGTTCTACCTAAGTCCAGCACTGACCACTTCTTCTACATTTCTAGAGGGCCATGAGAACAATCCTCACCTCTAGCAAAATCTCCCAGGCCCTTCTGAGTCATTTTGCTTCTCTCTAGAGACCTATCCAGTGGGCAGTCTCTCCCAAAGCCTCATATTGACATAAAATCCCTGTTGCTTCTATTTCTCTCTCCCCCTTTAAGTGAGCAGCTTACAAATGCTCCATGGAAAACCCAATTTTGGCCAGGGACCACTTGTGGGACTTCTTTCCCTTCTAACCAGGACTTCCTATGAGTGGCCTGACTCATCCATTTCATCAAGTTGCCAAATGGCCCCATTTCCTCTTGCAGTCCACTCTCCCTGGGTCCCCTCAAGAGATTCAGTGGGTAGATACTCACACCACGGCTGGCTGGGAACACAGGCTGCTGGTCTGATAATAGTCAGTCACAAATTTCCTTTGGATCTGTTGGCTGGCGTAAGAGAAGCAGCAAGAAGTAGGAGGGTCAGAGCCCACTGGAAAGGAAGATGAGGCATGAGATTAGTAAGGTCATATGTTCATACCTTTCATTCTTTACCTGCTGACGTCAATCCAGGGACATACTCTGTACTAGGCACACTGGGGATGTGATCCATCCTATCCCCCTTACCCTGCTTAGCTCTAGTACCAGGTGTGATTCTCATTGTGCCTAGAGGAAGATCAGCCTTGTTGTTCCCATCTCTGACTGGGGATATTTTGAGGAACTCTAAAGTGGGGGGAGGGATGCTAAAATGGATGTCAGAGATCTGCCCATCCAATTCCTGCCTTTTGAGGTGGAAACCACTTGCTGCAGATCAGATGGGTAATTAGTGACAGAATCAGAATGAGAACTGAGTCAGATAGAAGTCGGTCTAGTGCTTTCTACTCTCTTGTCCCGTCTCTATCTAACATTTAGACAGCATACACTGTCAAGGGCAGGTTAATGCCTTCAAGTCCAAAAGGTATAGACATCCTCCCTGCTCCTGCTCCTGCCCTTCCATTTTAGTCCTCTCCCATCCCATACTCACAGATCCCTATGAGCAGTCTACTCTCATCTCCTGTCAGGGTTCTATCCAGGTTATGATGAGAGCTGGGACACAGCCACAGAAAGAAAGAGAAAGCTCACTTACTTGGTGCAGAGGATGCCAGAGAGCTGAAGGCCATGACCATGAGCACGGAGAGGGCAGCCACAGAGACTTTCATGATCCTGAGAGGAGAGAAGGCTTGGAGGAGCAGAGCACAAGCTAAGAGACTGAAGGTCTGTGTCTCTGTCCCATGTGTGGAGCCTCGTTTTATAGGGGCTTCTGGGAGTATTCAGAGAGAAAGAAGGAACCTAAAAGGAATGGAAAGTCCAATGGAGAACTGATGTCATGGTAGGAGTTTGAAACTAAAAAGGGAACCCAGGAAATGTAAGACTAGTGTCAAGAACTGAGTTTCTCCCCACCTCCCCCCAGTGTGGCTTCATCACGGGTGAAAGAAGAGGGAGGATGGAGGGAGGAGAAGTGTGCATGTGGTGGGGTGGCAAGGATACTAAGGGGGAAGTGGTGAACCTGAGCAGAAGCTGAGACAGATGAAATATATGCAAAAACAAATAGAAAAAAAACTTTTGTTGACCATTGATATGAAGAAGAAATCAACATGACCTTCATACTGCTTTGATATCATAACTGCCTAGATTTTAGGATTATAGATTGAGAGGTAAAAGGGTCCTAGGTGGTATAGTTGAACACTCTCATTTTCCAGCTAAAGAAATTGTGGCCCATATAGAAGTGACTTGTCCAAGGTCACATTAGTAGTCAGAAGCAGATGCTGGAAATGTCCTCAGGTTTGTTGACTTCACATTTTTAGACTCACAGAAAATGGTCCACACAGAGGAAACACCTCAGCTCCTTCAAGGGCACTTCTTGACAAGCTTTGTGTAAATGGTGGCCATGAGCAGGTCTGTGAAATGAGGCCTCCTGGTCTTGGCCCATCCCTTCATCTGCTTTCTTGTGGGATGATTTTAACACCTTACATTTATATCACTTGAAGGATACAAGAGATTTTAATGCTGATTATCTCATATCATCTTTACAACAACCTTATGGAGTAAGAACTGTTGGTATTCTTATCTCTGTTCTATTTATAAGACTTGACATAGAGTGGATAGAGTCCTAGGCCTGAAGTCAGAAAGAACTGGGTCCCATCTCTGAAACATTTTAGCTGTGTAACCTTTAACCCCAGCCAATAATCTAATCAGATCATTTGTGGAATAGTTGCTGTACAATTACCAGTATTCCTAAATGGCTTGTCCAAATTTTAATGACCAGGAAATGACAGATTCAGGATTCTACCTGAGGCCTTCTGACTTCAGGCATGGTTTGACAAAATTATGGGACAGATCCCCACAGGAGAAGAAACAACCTGTGACATTCTGAAGAGTGTATGTAGGATACCATGACATTTCTAAGTACACAACTATCATATATACCATCACA